CTTTCCCCCCGTCGCAGTCCGCCAAGCTGACCCAAACCTCCTTTTCCGAAAAAGCACAGGTCAAGGCCGCAATATCAGCGGCATCAATTCTCCTATCGGTGTGCGACCTCGGAAAAGGACGCCTCGAAACAGTATCCTTGAACAAATTCTGGTAATACCCCACTATGCCTCTGCCGAGAAGCTCCCTCCCTTCATGCCTAACTCCATTGATGTTGATGCAATCGATCAAATTGAGCTTTCTTTTATAATTAGCAACCCTGTGGAAGAAGCTAGTATTGTTATCTCCTCCCTTCAGCCACAATTCTTTAGACAACTGTCTCCAATGAATCTCTTGGAGGAAAAAGAGCCTGCTCAAAACAGCTCTCAAATCCTGCCTGTCTGCTTGTTCCGCATCTGTAAGTGAACGAGATTCCTCCACCATGTCCAGCCCCTTGATAAGACCAAGAGACTCCTCGATCTTCGAATTGATATTGCCAAAAACCTCTTTATTCCATATTCTGATGGTCTGTTTCAGATTCTGAAGCCTCTTAACCCACAGGAAAGCTTTACCGTGCCCACTCACCGTGCTCCTCATCCACATTTCGAGACCCTCAAAGAATCTCGGGTCCTCCAGCCACATGTTCAGAAACCTCCATGGCCTTCGGACCCTAAGCGTAGCACCCCATTTGATCAACAAGGGATTATGATCCGATTCAACCCTTTCCATAGCCGTCAAAGTGCAATCAGGATACAAAGCATCAAAAGTCGCATTAATAAAAACTCTGTCAATACGCGAGAGGGACCCCGAACCGTCCCCTCTTCCCCACGTAAAGTTACAGCCTCCGAGAGGTAGTTCTAAAAGCTGGTTATTATCGATCACATCGTTGAATTTTTCCATCAACATCGTGCACCGCCTCCCACCCCTGTAATCCTCGTGGCCTCTAACAAGGTTGAAGTCACCTGCAATACAAAGGGGGTTGGCCGCGCTCAGACACAAGGAGTGAATTTCGTTGATGAACTCCAGTTTAGCTTCCCTCTCTTGAGGCCCATACACGACAGAGAGAGTCCAAACTTTTAGTGTGTTCACCTCCTGAAGATCGACAGACAAATGGAATCTCCCCTCCCTATACGCGAGAGCTCTCACAACTTCCTTGTCCCAGTAAACAGCTATCCCACCTGCGCTATTCTCCGCATTTTTTGCTGCCCAACCACTGTCCCTGTTTCCGCTGATGCTCCTGATCAGCTCATCATTGCAAACATTCCACTTGGTCTCAACGAGTCCAACGATCTTCGGTTTCCTCAAACACAGTACGCGCTTAATCCTGGACCTTTTCGCACTATCCCCCAACCCCCTTACATTCCACACAATCACAGAGCACTCCATTATACTGGTTCAGCATGTTCATCCCCACCCCTTCTGCGGCTCCTGCGATCACCTGAAACTGGCACCTCAATCAATCCTAGTCTGTGTCTTTCCATTTCAAGTTTGGACCTGGGTTGGCGCACTTTTCTCTGATGCATTTCCCTGGCGGTATTCTCTATCAATTTCACCACATTATCCGCTCCACCCTCCATTTCAATCTTGAATAAACTGCTCAATTCAATGCTGGTGGCCACGAGAGTTGCTGCGTCAAAGGGGAAATCGTCTTGACTTCCCACCCTAGCTTGACTGTCCGGAACGCACGAGGGGGAAGGAAAATCAAAATCCCCGAAGCTGGAACTCAACGCGAAATGCGAACCGGGGGATGAAGGCGGGCTGGTTAGATCTGAGCACTGACTGTGAAAGGAGGAGGGAGGAGAGGTAATGGCCAGGGGGACTGGAACAGATGGGTCATCGGAGTATATGGATCGGGAAGAAGGTGAGGTTAGACCAAAAGAGATAATACAAAACGGTGGGCAAAGGTTGCGAATTGGAGCAACAGAATTAGCGGGTCTAACCCCTGGAATGAAAACCGAACAAAGCCAACCCAATTCGTCCACAGCAGGGTTAAATCTGGGCCCGGGCCTGGACAACAACTGGTACACGGACCTAAGCATATTCACACTGACCTCCTGCACACAAGGCGTGGGCCCAGGCCTGTACAAGGCCCAGTCCTCCTCCACACAAGCAGACCCCCGTGAAAGGCCCAGAGGGGGGCGGTTGATAGGGCCGAACTTCCTGACCCATATTTTCCTCCCAAGCCGCCTGGGCCCTGCGAAGTAGTTGACGTTATCGGTGAGCTGCTGTTGGCCGGGTCCCACCGCCGAAAGAGAATCAGCACGCCTCGGGGTATCCACCAATTGATTCACCCTCGGTCGCTTCAACATGTGGCCTTGCATTGGATGCATGGGGGCATTGCACGATGCAAGGCGTTTCAACTCCCCGCTTGAATCGGCTTCCGAGGCGGGTCTCCCTTTCTGAGCGGACATCGGCGCCGTGATGATTCGGATCGAGAACCGCTCCCCGGCGAACCGAACAGGGATGGTCGACGGCGGCTCATCGATCATTCTCACCCGAATGCGAATGAAGTCCGCGGACCAGTGATTCCAATCGACCTCTAACAATTTGCCACAAAATCTTCCGATCAAATTAATAAGATCGATGCTTTTCAGATGAAGCGGGATCCCAAATACCAAAATCCATTGAGAATCATCGTACCAATCCTTCTGACCCTCCTCCGGCCAAAACGAGATGAGGATATTGAAATTTTTAAAGGAGCACTGATTGAAGCCTCTGATGCGGACAGCGTGTTGAACACTTGGGCATGATAGAAGCCACTTCCCGTTGTCAAAATAGTGCCAGTCGAAATTGTCATCGGTGGCCCAATGCCGATTCGCCCATCGCTTGAAGTCCTTAGCGTCGTCCCGGACAAAACACTCCCCAGCTGTCGGCTTAAAAGTAATGATCAAGCTTCTACCCAGCAGTTCACATCTCTCTGACACCCCGACGTCTTCAATATCAATGAAGCGGTCTGCGCCTTTACCTCTTATGCTGCAACGACCCGCTCCATAAAATCCCCTGTTCTTAACGGCCTCGGCATAGGTTTTCTTCGTCGTGTCTGCAAGAACCTGCTGTCGTGGAGGGCTGCAATCGGGAGCATCAGATTGTCGGCAACCCCTTTTCTCAAAGTGGTAAAAGTCCTGTAGCAATGAAATTAGTTGTGCCCAACCTCTCCCCTGCTCCGACTGGGGGACGAGGACCTTAAAGGAACGGCCGTTCATCACCTGCTCCGAGATCTGAAGATAAAGCCTGGAACCCACATATTTCTTTCCAACGTGGATCAACCTGTCGCCACACTTCTTGACACAACCACTTGGGAACTGCCACCCCCTCATCACCGCCGTTTGAAGGACTCCTTGAAGCCAGGACAGATGCCCTTCATTGAGAAGAATGAACCATCCCTTAGAGCCTTCTTCGACCTGCATTCTATACCACGCAGCCTTGCCCGCTTCTTCCTTTTGGATTACAACCCGCCTGCAGCCAAACCACGACTCTCTCGAACATCCTTCCTTGCTGCCACCACTGCCGCCACCGGACCCGAAAGCCTGTAACCTGCGATCACAACCAAACGAACCAGGTGAACTCAAAACCCTACCCCTATCGCTCACCCCCACGGCGCCTCTCACAAACGCACCACCGGCGGCTCCTCTCTCTTTCGCTTTCTCACCGCCGGCGGCTCCTCTCTCTCTAGCTTTCTCACTCATCTCTCTCTCTTCAACTTTACAACTTTACGAAATATACTTGTCTAAGTTATCCAAACCTTTATCGGTTGAGTTTGTTGTTGGTTATTCCCCACCAACCTGCATTTGGCTGCCATTTCTAAGGTTCGTGCACTACTTTGGCCGAACTAGCTTCCACATGAGGGATAGAGGAGATATTGGGAAAGTGACCACCAGTAACATGATCTTGTATCATGCTTTGCTGGACAACTGGTGGTTCCATCCAGCATGGTTGGTGGTTGATAACCTGCTGAGGTACACATTTGTTACGTCTCCATGAGGACTTCTAGGAGGGGGCTATATTCTAACTATATCCCAACACATCGACGATCATAGTGAGGAGTATGGATTTTCTCTGTGGGATGCTATGGAGAGAGAAGGACCGCTTCACAGACAACTGACTTTCACCTTTGGAACAGAGAGGGTGCCAAGCAAGGGAGTAGAACTCACCATCAATGTTTTCTCATGCTACTCACCTTTACCACGACTTACAATCTTTTAGTCCAAAGGACAATGTCCATTTTAAAAAATGTGGGGTGAGAATGGTTGATATGCTATTTACTTGCTATATGATCAGTTGTTCAATCAAAATTTGGAATTTTTTCAATGCTACATAGTTGAGATATGTGCTTAAACGATATTGAAAGTGTTAAAGATGTTTTCCATCTAATAACTTTAGTTACCCTACAAGCATTATCACTTATCACTTACTTTGAATCAACGAGTCTAGTAATCATCACTTGATCTAGGGAGGATAGTGTAGCGCCTATAAAGAATGCGATAGTCAATGGGATATAATGATCTTTTGATGTGTTTGGATTCCATGTTATTTGATCTATTCAAAGATTTCAGACTATGCAAAAGAGTCTTCTGTTTTCAAAAGTTTTCGAAGGGTAAACTGTATAATGGGGAAAATGCAAAAATCTACCTATCAAGACATTGTTCTCATTCGAAATTGTAATACTGTCTTGAGAAATAACGTGTGGGGTAAGCCCAACATGCGAGACATCTTTTCATTGCACAAAACCGGGTTTTGGATGTTATGTTAGTTGCTAGTTCCTGTTTAATACAAGTAAAATTTCCACCTGCTGAATTGATGGCCAACTTGAGGATGTGTTTCTATGGTCATGGATATGAGTCATGACTCATGAAAATTGGGTTAAATTACCTAATGAATCGACCCATTGCCATATCCAGCGTTGTTATCATAAAAAAAAATAGAAGGTATAATATCAACTATTCAAATCTATCATCAACCATACATTCAAAATTCAAACTCAAATTAGAAGACAAACAATTTATATTTGTGATTAGTCGCATCGGTTAGTGATTAACTATTATTACACGACAAATCAGATTGGGAGTGCTTATCGAGATTACCATTACCACCTAACTGACTATTCAACCGATATTTTCACTGCCATCAATATTCAATACCAAACCGGTCCAACAAAATTCCCGATACAATCTTTACATCATAGGATAGGTGTTATCAACATTGAGCACTCTACGGCATGCACCGATACGCCACAGAACAGTAGAAATTAAACAATTGATCATCACGAACTTAAATAGGGAGGAACGGTCATTAGTTTCTGTTCACACCAAAAAATGTTTTTCGTTCCGAAAACAGAGCATCAGGCACACTAGCTGAGCAGTGAAAATGAGAAAACCAGTATTGTTGTCAGTTCCTCCTGGATAGAGCAGAGTGGTGAGCTAGAAGAGTCACTTCCTTTCTTCCTACATCCACCTCAACAGACTCCATTGCTGCAAATTCAGCATTCAATCAAGACACACTCTGTTCACTTACGTGTTCATTGATTAATGAATAAGGGTAATAAGAAGTAAGCTAATAAAAATAAACAAATTTACCAACGAAATCCATGTTTGAAATGGCATCAGCTACTCTGTCTCTGCACTTGGAGCATCTCAAGTCCGCTGCCACCACAACTTCCACAATTTCACCCTGAGAAGCCCATCCCCAAAAGAACTTGGTATCATCGGGAAACTTGAGATCAACAAATACCCTGTTTATAGTTAAGTCCCACGTAATTCTCTATACAAATATAGACCCACCTGAGGTTGAGGCTGAGGCGGCTGGGTAATTAGTAGTCTCGGGGTTCCAACAAGTTTGGAGATCTCCTTCTTCGCCCAAGATGTCATGCTGAACACCATTGATTGGCTGGTTGGTGGAGGAGGAGGAAATCAACTGGAGCGTTCGGCCAAAGTTTTTTCTCAGCTGTTTAGGAGGATTTGTGAAGTGTAGGGGCAGAGATGTGTTGGAATGATGCGACTGAAAACGGAATAATGGGTGGGCTAGCTGATAAAGTCAGCAGAACCATTTGTGCTTTTGATGGAGTGGTTTTTTTGGGGTTGGCAGGAAGGAACAGGACAACGAAACAGATGATGATGGCGAAGCATGTGGATGAATTGTGGAGGTTTACAAAAATTCTGTCGGTGGAGGGACTTGTTAGTGTGGTGTCCCACTTCAGCATTCAGTTTTGCCATTTATTATGTCGTTAGTTAGTTTGAGTCTACGACGACTTGTTCGAAAACTTTATTATTCCAAGACACTTCTTTTGTGCTCAAGACTTGAGCATAAAGCCTTGGCTTTTTTTTTTTTTACAAAAGTTGAGCATAAAAGAACATAAAGCCTTGGCGTTGTAGAGGGTTTCAGCTGTAATTTTTATAATCCAACGGACAAGTTGTTTAGAGGTGCAACTATGTTTTTACACGAGACAACATGGGTTATATTTTCTCAATATTCGATTCAAGGATAATATGTACAAGTATATATTAAGTAAATATTTAAAAGTTGTAGGATAGTGGCTATCAACTTCATTCTAACTTCTATCTGAAGAAATTATTACGATAATGATGAGGCAACAGAGAGCGCCACGATATCGAATTGCGATCGAAACTTTTTTCCTTGACCTGTCATTCTAGTTAGGCTACCGACTGGGATTCCATTAAGCTTCAGGCGTTGTATTGCGATTAAGCTTTTAACTTGACAATAGAGAACCTCTAATCCTAATTTTGATTTTCATTGAACTTCTGGTTTTCTAAATCGAGTCTTGAGAAATCGTAACGGGTAAATTATCTCCCAATGGCATGCACGTTGTTGGATCTCTCCAGATAATTTAAATTATTGAGACAACTGGTTCATTAAAGTTGGTTTGATCGTGAAGTCACTTGTTCAAGGCATAACAACCCCCAATATTAGCATGTGATTCAAGCACAATGTACGATGAGTCTATGCAAAATTCAAAACCTCAATTGACTTTTGTTTGAAGGATCGTGTAAGGAAGTGGTTAATCCTCTTTTCTTTTTTCATGGATTTTAATTTGGTGTATCAATGTGGATCCATCTACATTTTTTTTTGGTGATAGGATCCATCTACATTTCGTTTAGCTTTATTGAAATTTTTAGTGATTCAGGCTGATTTTATATTGTCAATTTTCAGAAAGAGGGAATATGATGAGATTTTTGTCAATCCCATAAATTTTATAAAATAATTGTTCCAAAATAAGCAATATGAACACCAAAGGCAAAATATAGTAAATAAGAGAGAACTTCTTTTATTTAGTGCTAAAAACATATTTACAACTAAAGTACATGAAGAGTAAGAAGTAGGAATATAAGTAGGAGTATGTGTGTATCTTCTCTTTATCTCCAAAGCTTCCTTATACGGGGAGGAAAAGAGTATGACTTGGGGATAACCACAATTCACCCTTATTCCATACCCTCACATGTATGTCCATTGTCCAATCAATCATGGGCATATAGTGGAAGGACATCCACCATGCATGAACATGCATTCATGGCACTCCCTCTTCAGGAATTTGATAAATAATATGTCTTGTTAAAATCTTTGTAGAATTTTTTTGGGGTACTTTTTTGCACTTATTCATTCTTCTCTTTTGATACAATGGTGTGCTTTATTTATAGGCACACCTTGGTAACCACTACATCCTTATATCAATGAGAGATAATGAAACATAAAGGAGCTATCAAATGTAGGAATGAGGATACATGTAACTCCCAAGTGAGCATCTAATGTGGTAATGGCAATGGTCATCCATATATCAATATTTACATAATACTCCCCCTTGGATGACCACTAGATTGCATTACGCTATCTCATACTGCCTCGTTAAAAACCTTACCGGGAAAACACAGTGGAAAAAAACCATGGTTAAGGGAAAAAGTGTGCAGTTCGTATATGCTCCCCCTCATGACCCCATCACTTCAAATCTTTGAGTCGTTGAACTCAAATTTCACGAACAACTTTTAGAAAGATTGTTGTCGGGAGTTAGTTAGTAAACAATCTTCTAGATTGTCAATCTTATGCATGATCTTTAGATTTTCTTTATCCATGATCGTCAAGATCATTTCCTTTAGAAATAGTTTACAACCACAAGTCCTTTAGATATGATGAATCACAAAGTGTAACGAAATACATTCAGGACTTGCCTACTATGGTTTGTTTTGGATATCTATGAAATAATCACATCACCATATGTAAGAGATAGCTCGTCTCTGATCAACCAGTATGAGGATCAAATAATATATAGGATTTGGATATATAGTTCACCAAATCTCTCTTTGATAGTACCATAATAGAACAATCACATATATTGTTCCTGAAGGTAACAAAGTATTTCCAACGTTCCATTAAGGAAAACATTGTATTTTGCTAATATTATCAACATCAAAATGATAGTTTACATGGTGCTTAGCTAGCAAGATGCATTGGTGCTCTGATGCATCAACATATGGTACTTCAGGACCTAGTACATCAACATAAAGTACTTCAGGACCTAATGTTTCACTTCTTTCTTGATGCCTAAATGGATCTTTGGTCACTTCTAGTGATCTTAGGGTCCTAATGTTATTTGATGAACATAATTTGTTCACACAAAATTACTTTTCCACTTTTTCAACATTTCCTTCCTTGCCCATAAAAAGGATCTTAAATCCTTCAATTTAACTTATGTCTCTAAGCAATCAACTGCTTTAGGAAGCTCTTCAGGAGCTCCAATAATAGTCATATCATCAACATAATATGAGATCGTCACAACAAAAACTTAACTGACACAAACTGATGCAAGCAATTCTTTTGTATCACGAAAGATAATAAAAAAACTCACATCATAGAAACATATGAACTAGACAAAGCACAGTCATAAAGCACAACTCATACTTTAAAGTAAAACACAACTCATAAACCAAGATTTTAAAATCCTTGAAGCACATACAAACAACATAACTATATATGCACAATGCAAATACTCGTATGCACTCTATCTAAATTTAACCTTTGAAGGTCCATTCACCCCACTGTTGTAGGTGTTCACTTAGACGAGTATTTCACATTCGTCTATATTGTCTCAACCCACACAAGAGATTTTCTTAGTCTATCTATATATGTTCTCGAGAACTTTACTTGTTTACTTCAGGTATATTAATCCTTCTAGGAGTTTCCAATATATTTAACATCTTCAGGGAATTCAAACAAATAGGCTATCACAACAATTTTCAAACATTGATTTGAAAAAGTAGTTGCATCTACCACAGGGGAGTATAACTCCTCTTAAACAATGATAGGTCTCTTCGAGAAACCCATTGCAAAACATTATGCGATATCTCTCACAATTTCATACCTTCCAATAGCACAAAAATTTGTTTGTATCCTGCTAGTTTGGCCCTTTTTTAGGTGCAAGGACTTCTGGTCCTTAAACTTTATGCTCCTTGAGCAAGTTTCATGATTTCTTTCTATATTAACATCATCATTTGCATGCATCAATAGAGTTTTACTCTTGATCATCACTTGTACATATCATATTCAGTACTGAAGTACAACAAACAAATTTCATCGACAATTATTTCATTACGGTTCCAGTATTGTAGTCTAATATGGTTTTGAGATCTCTTCGCTTTCACAACTTTCAGAGACATGTGTTCTTCTGGAACTAAAATTATATTTTATTCTTGGTTACTCTTCTTGAGTTTTCATGTCCTCGAGTTGACCATTCTAATTACAGTTCCTTTTCTTTCTCGAGGATGTTTATCATTGGAACTGATTGGTCTATCATGCTTCATGCGCTCTTTCATACACATTTTTTTATATAGAGTATCCAACAAGGATATCAAATTTAGTTGGAGCATTCACAGCTAGTATATGTGACTTGGTCACTTCGTATGGCCAGTAGAGGCAATTGATAGTTGGTAACGATAATTCATCTTATGAACTTCAGGTTCATGTTTCTTACTTTGAGGATCAAAACTAGACAATGGTAACTCATTCCAACTCATCTCTTTGCCTAGCTATTTTATCTCTCCCCCTTAATGTTGGAAAAGTAATCCATCAAAACAATAATTTCGCAAACAAATTTCCCATTTAGGATCAAACCTCAACACAAATTCTCAATCTCTAATGAGAATCAACTTAAGATACTGTGATGGAGCAATTGGGATGTATGCGGCACACCCTTATATTCTCATATGGGAAATGTTAAGTTTCTGACCAAAACCATTTGTAAAAAGGGGGGAACTTATGATAACTTGTTGGTTAGATGTGAACCAATACTATCACTTGCCAGCTAGCAAGTCCTCGACAAGAGACCAGAAGGCTCAGTTTGTTCCCTTAAGCAAAGTGATGTTTGATTGGATAACCATCAAAATGTATCAATAGTGAGGCAATCAATCTCGCAAAAATCGGGTTGCGAATAGATAAAATAAAAGTGATCATCCATTTGATGCAGCAACCCATCAAATTCACAAATGATCCACATGACTGATGTATTCTTCTGCATACACATCCATAAAATCTTAAGAGATTTGCCAACTCTTATACAAACGATGATCAATTGTTCTATTCTCCTTGAGAACAAACATGACATAATAACTCTTTTAGTTGAAGAGTTCTTTGACTTCTCATATGATGTTCTCATGAATTCTCAAATAACTTTTTTTTTTCACATCAATATCCGGGATGGTCTAACCGGACAACCAATTATCAAGTTATCAAATCTTGTAAACTTCTGGTTTACACTTTTATGTGTATTGATTGTACTAATATACATGTAGTACATATTTGTGATGCAAATATTAGTTTCACTATTTTCTTGATAAGATATTCATTTTGCGAATATCCTTTTAATTGGGTAATGCATCATCACAAGGTAGTTTGGTTCCTTGAGGCCACAAAATTAGCTCTTTTAAAGATTTACAATATTCCACCCTTCCGGGGACTTATGATTTGATGCATTCTTAGTAAGCACAAATTCATAGTGAATATCACAACAAATTGTTATCACGAGTACATAATTTAGTTACTTCAAGTAACCAAACATAAGCTCTTCGGAAGCTTTTTCTTATTTATGTACTCTACCATATAGTTTAAATGGAATTTTTCTAACACTCATACTTTATAAAAACATACTAAAAATAATAAATGAGAATATTTCAAACTTAAGAAAAAATGATGAATTTATCAAGTTAATTGTTCTAGATAAAAGTTATCAAATTAAATTATGCATGAAAATAATGGCACAATAAAACATAATAGAAAATAAGAATCATAATACTACAATTGTGAAAATTATATAAGCTTTATTTGGAACAATACCATCACTAACTAGATGATTTTAAATTTATATATGCGTTTCATTATACATTATAATGTACAATAAGTACATTATGTTATCATGACTTTGATAATGCAATTGTGGTGTTATCCTTATTTATAGTTCTCCTTTTACTCCTATTTTCTCACTTCTGGTGAAAAGATCTAAGAAATACATTTAACATATATATATATAACTATGTTTATAGCTCCATTCACTTCGGGGAATAAATTATTTCATTCACTTCTAGGAATGAAAATTTCTCAAGTGCAATATCATTTTCATTTTAAATGGAGAATATACCAACTTATAATACAAAAATATTTTCCATAATATTGATATTGCAGGAGCGTATATGAATTAGCTTTTTCCTTTGATTCTTGGTAGAATAAGGTCTTTTGCGTACAACGGGTACGATACAAATGCAATTTTCCATTACAATGGTAACATACAAAACCAATATTCTTGTTACCATGTCCACTTCTTTCTTTGCCATTGGATTCTTCAATTTCCACTTCTGGGGAATATATGGGCTCTTGGAACTTGCATTTTCTACATATCAATGCAGGATTGATAAGAATATGATAACACGGAGAACTGAGAAATTAACTCATCACTTATGTTACTTTTCTTGTTAATCCAAATAGATTGACGTGATAAAATATCAATGGATACGAGAAAAGAGTAGCACCCATCTTGATATATTGGAATGAGATAATCTCAACACAAATAAGACAATAAGATAAGAAAGGATATAAGATTTACATACCTTGATCATATTGTGATCTTACTCCAATATCTTAGATTATGTCGAGAGTCTTTGAGCAATGATAATTTTGGCAGAGTTTCGTGCTGATAACGTGTTATGAAACTAATGGAAAATATAAACAACTACAAAAGAAGATTAGAGAGGGAAAGACACAAGGAAGAGAGGGGGAAGTGAGCTTTTTTTATTCATTCTTCTGTTTTGATAAATGATGTGCTTTATTTATAGGCACACCTTGGTAACCACAACATCCTTATATCAATGAGAGATAATGAAACATAAAGGAGCTATCAAATGTAGGAATGGGGTTACATGTAACTCCCAAGTGAGCATCTAATATGGTAATGACAATGGTCATCCATATATCAATATTTACATAATACAATCCATGAATTTGGTTCATATGAGAATCTGTGTATGTATGGTTTGTATTCAAAGAACTCACTTTTTTGGGTGCATGTCATACACTCGCCTCATAATCATCATAGTGAGTAGAAGATTCATGTCAAGATATGTCAATCTTCACTAGTAATATGATGGACAAAAACACATTAATTTCTACGAAAATCACTCAAGATTCACTTGAAGGTTTTAGAGTTTAGAGATTTTTAGAGTTTACAATTTGGGGTTTAGGGTTCGTGTTCAAAATTGAAGGTTTAGGGTAATGGATTGATTAGTTATGATCATATTTAATATCATTATATCTGACTAATGCCCAATTAAAATTAAAAATTCAATGTCTTAACACTACTTTTAAAGTTGAGTGTATTGTATGGGGAACGACTACGGTGCTAATTGTACAATAGTTAGCACCGTCCTAACCAAGGGAAAAACTACTACTAGTTTGAATTAGTAGTGATTTAGCTTAGATGTTGTATTGATTTTATTTAATCCGTAGTGATTTCGTTATTTTTAGTAACGTTTTTTGCTAGTTATCACGGTGCTAACCCCTATAAGGATTAGCACCTAATCCTATTGTATGGACTCATTTTTTTGAGTGCACCGAAGAAGCCACCACATATATATATATATATATATATATATATATATATATATATATAGCTTAGGTCATTGTGTTCAATGTAGCCGAGACACAAAATAATAAAACCTGAACCTAGAGCAGCTGCTATCAGTGGACTAATCCCATTCACAACGAATAAGAATACCACATAAATCGTTGTCGTGTATGCTTGATTGCTTATTCTATTCTTCCTTATTTTACAATCTCATCGGGTTAGTTGAATTGGGAAGAGAGAAAGTGGACATGAAATGCATGCAGGGTTAGGCAACACAAAATCCACGCACACACACACAATGCATTTACCAACTTCACCACCACTCCAAAAAATGCACCCTTCATTACCCTCAATCTTAAAACTCCAACCCCATTTCTCCCTTCTCTTTCTTTGTGAAACTCACTAGCTAGCTACAGCTAAAGGTGCAATAAAGAAGAGACAAAACAGCAGCCCCCTCCCCTGAATTCAAGCTGCTGCAAATCAAAAGCATGGCAGTTTGCCACGGCTCTCCTCCACTCCCCACCACCACCACCACCACTTCTTCCATGGCTTTCCTCCTCCTGCTGCTGCTGCTGGCTGCTGCTGCTTCAGCCACAGCAGTACTCGCCACTTCACAATCTCCCACCATCACTGACTGCACTCCAGGGCTGCTCCAACTCACCCCATGCTCCCCATTCGTGCAAGGCCTCTCTGCTTCACCACTCCAATCATGCTGCAACAACCTCCTTCAGCTCTACCACCGCCAGCCTTCATGCCTCTGCCTCGTCCTCAACACTCCTGATTTCGGCGGCTTCCCCATCAACACCACCCTCGCCTCTCGCCTTCCTTCCCTCTGCGACCTCCATGTCGATCCTTCTGCTGCCTGTTCTTCGCAAGTTCCTCCGCCGGGTGCAAGGCTCCCTGCTTCTCCTCGAGTTGCGCACACCAATTCGTCTACAGATTCAATTGGACATCACCCTAATTCCACTGTTCCAGGTAATGAATATACAATTCATTTTTTGTCATGATCATTACTTGGTCTAAAAACTATCTTTGTATGTGTTTCTTGTTTCACTCCATTACAACAAAATTTCCTCCTCTTCTGGCTTTTCGCAAACTTTAATTTCAGCCTTCCCTGTGATTCAAGCTGCGCCAAGACCAGTCGTGATGGGGATGGGGATTGGGGGGAGCTCACGTATTGGCGTTGGAAGACAAGTCCCCATGATGCTTCTTATGGTGTGGCTGTTGCAGTTTTTCTTCTTCTTGCTGTGATCAGTTAATTGTCTAGGTTTAAGTCTGGCATCCTTAATAGGTGTTCAAAGGATGTCCGAGGTGGCAATTTCTTACCTATTGTTGTTATTCTTTATCTAGATTAGACATCGTCTATTCGTCTTCAGGGTATCAAATTTAACTTAACGGTGTCTCAAGTTGCTTAAGCTCTGTGATCAGTTAATCTTAAGTGTTTTGCTTAATTTTTGTTTTAATTCAACACCCTGATACATTAGTTACTTGGATTACAACCAATTTTGAGCTTCAACAGCCAGCAATTGGTCTGCTCACAATGCTAGGCCTCACTAAACACAGTAGTGAACACTGAACGGTAACTACAGCTCCATATCTTCAGAATGAACACTCCACTGTAACTACATGGCTCATTAACTCACCATGCTTCTATGTCATGCCATCCCCTATGATATCCTACTAATGGGTTTCGTGCTAGAGTGACACGTGCGTCAGCCAACACTACGGTTTGCATTAATGCAAAAACCAAAAAGGTTGCTTCCAAGAAGTATATTGCATTTTATGCGAAATTGCATAAGGGCTGCATTTATTTCACATCCATCTAAAGGTAGACACCAAAGTACAATTAATATAATAAGGAGGATTCAAACAAATACAATATATATGTAACCAAGAATCGAATGGTACATTGTCTAATGAATCTCTAAGGTTAACAAACCTACAAAGAAGAGCAGTAAAATGACATCAGTAGAAATACGAGAATCGAGAAGTCTTAAAAAACGACGGCCAGAGTAGTAAAATGACACCTGGGCGCCTTTTGATAGAGCTCGGGGTTCGGAGCTCTATCTAGGGATTAGGGTATTGGGATCAACTAGGGATTGATCCGGTGATTTGAGAAGTGGGAAGAAGGGTGAATTTGGGGGATTGACCGAAGGAGAGGGAGGAAGGAAGGGAGGCTGCCACGCGGCAGCTTGGAAGGAAGAGGAAGAAGGCTCGGCGGCCAAGGAGAAGAGAGGAAGAGAGAGATTATCCAAAAGTAGGTTGAGGTTTAATCTTGCTTGCCTTTCCTACGTAAAACAATAGTTTAAATACCTAAACACAATTGCCTACTGACTACCCCAACTTATTAATCCCCAAATTATTCCAATATAACCAAAATAAACCCGAACAAAATAATTCAAACCGAACATAAAAACCAAATAATTAAAACGTCTATCATTCCCGCTCCCTTCAAAACAACCTTGTCCTCAAAGTTGCTAGTCTTCCACAGCGTCTTCTCCTTCTCTCGCCTCATCTGCCGCCTCATCCTCCCACCTTCCGACCAGCATCATCAAATCGGGACGTGCGCACTTGTGACCTATCGCGAACCGCTCGTCACAATTAAAGCACTTCCCTTCGCGCCTCTTCTGCTCGATCTCTGCAGGGGACAGCCGCACAAACCCCTTAGGTGGTGGCCGCATGCCACCCCTTGCCGCAACGACTGGCGCCGGCGCCGCCGTCGGTCTCCTAGCACCGGCAGTGGCTCCAGCCACGCCTCCTCCTCCTCCGCTGCTGCTCCCGGCGACACTGGGTCGCGGATAGCGCCCTATGGTGCTCCTCCAACTCGCGAGCTCCTCTTCCTTATACCCTGCAAGACGAAAAGCAAATTTCAAGGAGTCTGGCTCAAACAGATGGCAACAGCAATCTCCGGCTTTAGGCCTGCCATACACAGCCCCACCAACATATCCTCTGGTACCCCACGACATTGATTACCCAGTTTGAAGAACTCCGTACGGTAATCCGCAACCGAGCCGTTCTGCTTTAGCTTAGCCAACTGCTCTGGAGACCACCCCTCCGATTTACCGAACTGGTAACAGAGCTCCTCCTGAAACATTGGCCATCTAATCAAGGTTTCCGCCGCCCCGTAGGATCTCTCCATCCACTCCCACCACTACAGTGCTTCACTTTCTAAGTAGAAGGACGCCAGATGCGCCTTCCTCTCTTCCGGTATGGGGTGATTTCTGAACCACCTCTCCGCCGCATACAACCACAACCCTGCATCCTCCTGACCGTTGAATTTTGGGAATTCAATGGTCGGGGGCTTGGCTCGAAATACCATCCCATCAGTTCCATCATAGGCACGGTGATACGAACCATACATGTCATAACCCGAGTCACCTCCTAGCTGGTTCTGGTAGAATGGTGATCCTCTTCCCCGCCCAAAGTTGCTCGCTGCACCTCGACCGGTTGGACCCGTCGCATACCCTGCCCTTTACGGCCCTTGTCACATGTTCGGATCCATACTGGCTGATCTCACAAGTCGCGGCTCAAACCGATTTGGCCCACTACCGGTTCGACCAACCCCATCCCGAACCGGCTCGGTTCCACCCAGCGTCATCCGACCTGACCCGATTCGCCCTAGTTCACCCCGACCCGATCCGGTCCGACTTGGATCGGCCAGCCCGCGATCGACCCGTCCAACCGACCCACCGCCTCGCCCCAATCCGGCCCAAACAGGCCCAGTCCGCTCCTCCTGTCGCGGCCCAACTCGGGAGGCTCGACCCACTGCTGGGTCTGAGCCCAGGTAATTTTCGGTGCTAGCCGGGTCGGCCCACGGTGCATTCTGGCCCACCAGGCTGAGCTCCTCCTCGAACTGCTCCGGGTCTATGTTCAGCCACCCCAGCCCTCTAGGCTCGTGATATTGGCTCGCTGTATCAAACCGGCCCATCGGCCCAGGTGGCCCACGCACAGTGTGCTGGGCCCCGCCATCATAACCAGGCATTTTGGCCTTGCACTTGCGAGCCGCCAACTCCTAGGCGGTCGGCGTAGGCAGAAGCCCAGGCCCACCGCCGCACCCTAGCTGACCGTGGCCCACACGCTCGGAAGCCCCTGCCTGGTCGCCCTCGCTGGCCGCCACTGCCGCCGCCTCCATCACATCGGCCGCCGGAGGTAGGTCCTCAGTCGTCGTTCCGCCTGTCGGCGAACCACCCGGCGCGACCGGGTCGCTCCCCTCTGCGCCGCCGCCCGCCGGCGACTCTCCCGCCGCGCTCAGCCCGCTTCCCCCTGTGCCGTCGCCGTTGCTCTTCTGTGGGGGTGGTTGCGCGCCGCGCAGCGCCTCCAAGGCCGCCTGGACCTCATCGAACCGCCGCCAGACCCGCCGGGACTCCTCCTCCCGCTCGCGCCTCTCCGCCAGCCTCTCCACGGGCTCTGTCTCGAACGCAGCTACCAGGCGGTCCAAGGAGACTCGAATCGCCTCCTTCTCCATCTCGTCTTCCAGCTCCCCGTTTCGCGGACTGGGAACCCCATGTGCGCCATCAACGGAAGACTGCAGCCCCGTCGTGGCCGCAGTCACGGCCTGCTCCTGCGTCGCCTTGGCTGCATTCTCAGCTGTCGTCATGGACTTCGTCGACACCATCTCGATTGTCTTCGTTTGATCACGAACCCAAGAACGGGGCTCTGATACCCAATAATAGAGCTCGGGGTTCGGAGCTCTATCTAGGGATTAGGGAATTGGGATCAACTAGGGATTGATCCGGTGATTTGAGAAGTGGGAAGAAGGGTGAATTTGGGGGATTGATCGAAGGAGAGGGAGGAAGGAAGGGAGGCTGCCGCGCGACAGCTTGGAAGGAAGGGGAAGAAGGCTCGGCGGCCAAGGAGAAGAGAAGAAGAGAGATATTAGCCAAAAGTAGGTTTAGGTCTAATCTTGCTTGGCTTTCCTACGTAAAACAATAGTTTAAATATCTAAACACAATTGACTACTAACTACCCCAACTCATGAATCCCCAAATTATTCCACAATAACCAAAATAAACCCGAACAAAATAATTCAAACCGAACATAAAAACAAAATAATTAAAACGTCTATCACCTTTTTTGCCACCATTCTACCCTCGAGTTTTTTGAACGTTACTAGACTGGTGAGAGTTGCTCTATCGGCAGAGAGAAGGTGGAAAGAGGGTTGGGAGGATTAGGATTTATTTTATTATTAATATATATCCGGTAATTACTACTTGAAATTAAGTTATAAATCAGTTATTAAACTTGTTAATCATTAAATTTTATGCATGTATTTTTAATTGTATACAAACCAGGTTAAAACGGGCTAAAACGATCATTGACCCACTTACTCGAACAGGCCAACGGGCCGAATCGGATTGACAACCTTGGGAAAGACCAAAAGAGGAGAGAAAATTTCGGATTTTTCGCTTCTTTTTGGCACACCATCATTTCAATTAATTTTCTCCTATAATTATTTATAGGTTATATGTACTAAATATTTATATATACATTTTCTAAAACAAGGATACTCTTAGTTCCAACTCGTGACTCCGTCTCGTCACGGCTTAAACCGGTAGGCATTTGTGCAAGCACGTAACGAGAAGGCACTTATATTGATGAGCAAAACTTAGCAGCAACCCAGGGAGCAGCGTGTAGCTGCTGCCAGCCCAGGTGGCGCCTAGTGATTGGGCCCAAAATCTTGTATTTAAAATTTTAATTACTGATTAAAATTAGGGCTAATACCACTAGGAAACCCGAACTATTAACTTTGTGTCATTTGTGTCCTAAAGTATTCGATACGACATTTGTGTCACAACGTATGATAGTTGTGTGTCATTTATGTCCTGACGATTTCGTTGACCGTTATAGATAACGGTTGACCAAACGGACATCACAGATTTGCTGACGTAGCAAAACAATAGATGCCATGTAGATGCCACATCATTAAAATATTATTCTTTTATTAAAATTTTAATATTTTAAAAAATAAAAAATTAAAAGAAACCAGCCTAGCTACCTCCGTCCACCTCTGTTCTTCACTCCTCAATCAAAAGCGGCCCAGCCACCGGAGAAGACGATTCATCTCCGCCTTTGTTCTTTGAAAATCGGGGTGTTGCCGACCGGAACTGTCAAATCCGGGAAGCTAAATCCTTCCTTTGAAACGCACATCCAACCTTCGATTTGCGCCATCCAATCCTGCAATCCGTCGCCAATTGGAGCCTCCACCGACACCGCCGACTTCTCCTTCTCAGCGAAATCGAAGCCCCAATTCTCGGCGAGCTCGAACGTAGAGGGGCAGCCGGAGAAGCCATCGAGGGAAGCGCGATCGTGAGAGGCGGAGCAGCTACCGTGAGCGTCATAGTCGCACTCCTGGCAGAGGACCAGATTATCGGTGGCGCAGCAGACGGAGACCGGCTCGGAGCTGTAGTTGTCGCAGATCTGGGAGCGGATGTGCTTCCAGGAGAGGAGGTTAGCGGAGTGGACGTGCTGGTCGCAGAACAAGCAGAGCTTTGCCGAGTCAGTTCAGCAGTAGAGAACGGCAAGCTGGTCGTTGCAGAAATCGCACGGGACTCCACCGGCGCCGTGGCCCTTGCTGTCCGGTTTCCGACCCGTCATTTTTGCCACGGAGATGAGAGCGTCGGAGAAAGGGTAGAGGAAAGAAGAAGGAGATTAGACTTTTTGAAGTGTCAACCAACGGTCAAACGGACGGAAAGTTGATAATTTGGATATTAGATTGTTTTCGAAAAGGTTTGGCTATTATATTGTTTAAAATGAAAGGTTTGGATATTAAATTGTATTTACCCAAAAAATAAACCAAACTATAATATAAATTTGATACCTACGAATTAAAGTTAATAGCAATTGAAAAACTCCTATAAAAAAAAAACCCTAAGAAGTAACGTCTCCGTCCCCTCTCCGTCCCCGCCTAAGAGTTTTGGTTACCCATTAAGAGAATTAAATACAAAAATTTAGGCCCAATCACTAGGCGCCACCTGGGCTGGCAGCAGCTACACGCTGCTCCCTGGGTTGCTGCTAAGTTTTGCCCATCAAGGGCAGATTGATAGCCCTTAATTACACCATCTAACGCCAGAAGGCTTCGTGTGTAGTTGCTGCTAGGTTTAGCTCTCCGACTTCTCGACATGAACAGAGGTCAAATGCTTGGCCTTCATCTTGTGAATAGCGTCAGCAGGATTGAGGCTCTTGGGACAGGTGGCAGTACAATTCTTGATAGCCCTACACCTGTACAATTTCTGCATCCCCTCTGTCACCGCTTGCAACCGCTCCTCTGTATACTCATCCCGGCTACAACATCATCAATAACCAAAAATCAAAACACATTTAACCAATGAAATCAACTGGCCGGATAATTGCTAACAGAGTTACTAATTAAACCCTAATTAATAGTAATTAATCACCACACATGCACACCAATTCACCTATCACAGATCCAGCGATATGCATGCAGCAAGCTTGCCGGCCCCAGAAACTCTTCAGGGTTCCACCAGTAGGAAGGGCAGGATGTAGTGCAGCAAGCGCACAGGATGCACTCGTACAGCCCATCCAGCTTCTTCCTGTCCTCCGGTGACTGCCTGTACTCCCGCCCTTCCTCCGGCCGTCGTTTCGTCTTCAACCACGGCTCAATTGACCTGATTCAGAGATAGAGTACTTCATTGTTTATGCGCCAGGGCAGGCGTGTGCATAAATGATTTGATAAGAAAGGGATTGGGAGTTAATTTACTTGTACTGCTGGTAGAAGTTGGTGAGGTCGACAACGAGGTCCTTGATAACGAACATGTGAGGCAGGGGAGTGATGAACAAGGGCTTGGCCGGGTCCGGGTCGATGGGTTTGAGACAGGCCACGGTGTTGGTGCCATCGATGTTCATCGCGCACGACCCGCATATCCCTTCCCTGCACGATCTCCTGTAGGTCAGACCTGGGTCCACCTCGGCTTTGATCTTCTGCAGCGCATCCAACACCATCGGGCCGCAGTCGGCGAGGTCGAGGAAGAAAGACTGGAGAAACGGTTTGCGGGTCGGGTCATCCGGGTTCCATCTGTAGATTTTGAACTCTTTAGTCAGCAGCGGCGACCGCTTATTGCTCTGGCTCTTGACCGCGTCGAATGTCTCGACGGATTGCTGGGCGTGTTGTTGGGCCACAGGGTGGCCTTCCAGGATTGGGAAGTTCTGTTGCTTTGGATCCGCGGCGGTGGGGTGGTTTTTGCCAACAGCAGCTGCTCGAGTCAACTTGTTGTAGCCCTGGCGCAACCAGTTGGCGCTGCTCTTCCTCATGGTAAGATCTCTGTTTTTCGTTTTTTTTTCTTTCTTTTTTTCTTTTTTCCGGAATCTTTTCTCTGTTCCCCTTTGCTTCACAGGCGCATTTTGCCGAGCAGCTTGCAAGCGGTGGCAAGATGTTGGGCGTAGATGACAAAAGAGAGGAGAGGAGAGCCACGTGGGTTGAATTGGTGCAACGTGTTGGAGCTTGGAAGTATAGGTGTCAATCGGGCGGGGTTCAAACGGGTTACGGGTTCATCGGGTTCGGGTTCATCGAGTTCATCGGGTTCAAACGGATTGCGGGTTAGTCGGGTTGCGGGTTCATCAGGTTCGGATTCAATCTGCGGGCAAATTAGGGATGGCAAAAATATCCGTAATCGTGGATATCCGCCCGAATCCGACCTAATTGGGTAGGGTAAAACCCGAACCCGAAGGACTTTTAGCGGGTATGGGTAAAACCCGAATCTGAATATTGCGGTTAATGGGTGGGCATGGTTTTCGCACTATCCAGCCCGAACCCGCCCGATTATACACATGCGTGTGTATTTTGTCTAGAAAATCATTATTTTTCTCTATCATATTTTTTATTTAGCATATAAATATAACATTTTTATGCAATCGTGTTGTTTTAATTAATGTTCTTCATTCTAGTGAATGATTGTCGTGTTTTTCCTCTTATGCAATGTGAGAATACGTGTGAATCTTAACAGATTTGTTGGAGTTATAAAGAGAATTTATTACCCATGGATATCCGTGGATACCCGAAACCCGAACGGGTATGGGCATGATTTTAATTTTCTACCCATTTTTTTAGTGGGTATGGGTATGGGTAAAACCCGAACTACTTTAGGTAGGGTAACGGATATGCACTATCCGCACCCAACCCGACCGGTTGCCATCCCTAGGGCAAATCGGGTTGCGAGTTCAACGGGTTTTGGGTTGGGCGGGTTGCGGGTCGGGCGGGTTGCGGGCTGGTCGGGTTTCGGGTTGTTCGGGCCAGCGCATCAAGTAACTTAACTCATTACTCATTACCAACTTAAACATTTTATTACACTAATTTAAAATATTTTCTCAACTTTTTAACCAATTTATTTCTACCTCGTATATATATACTTTATTTTTTTGAAAAAAAAAACTAGTCAAAATGTTAAATCAATTTGTATGACTTGCAAACTTGTTATGTAATTAATCATAATTGGTAAAGTATTATAGCTAATAGTAATGGTGATATCAATATTTGCAACCAAAAGACACCGTTAATTGTTTATTTGATATTTTAGTATTAATTTAGTAGTAATTGGATTAAACTATCTCGTTTAGTATAACCATGCAAATCTGGTATTTGGCGTGTGGTATTTGGCAAAAGCATAGTGATAAAAGGAGTTATTTCAAAATAACTCATTGCCCAAATAACTTTAGTAAACTGTTGCCAAACAAGTTATTTGTAAAATTGTTCGAATTATCCTAAAAATTGAACCATTAAAGATTAGCTATCAAATTTAGTAAAATTATTGTGACTTCAATCATAACTTACTCAATAGCATATATCCTATACACTTAGATTTACCCTCAATCAACAATATTAAGTTAGTATATGTTGTTGATTGTATACCCTAAACCATCAATACATTATACACTAACCACATAACTTATACCCTAACCATATGTCCTTGAGTTGTGATTTTGCTAGTATAGTTAATTTAAAAGTGAAATTCATACTTTGATTTTCAAAACATAGATAAAAAGTGATATTTGCTAATTGTTATATCCTAACCATATATCATATACTTTACACCACATACCTTGTACCCTAACCACGTACCATAAATATAAATTAAAAAGGGATCTACTCTCGTTAAAGACTTCAAATGACTTCAAGTGAACATATGTTAATAAAAAACTTAGAACCGTCAAAACCATCAATATCTTATACCCTAACCATATACACCCTAAACCATATGTACCTTATACCTTATACTTTATACCTTATACCCTAACCATATACTTTATATTCTAAACAACGAACCGTCAAAGATTACTTATCAAGTTTAGTATAAAATGTTGTAACTAATGGTTAATTTATTTATTAGGCCATAAAAAATTACATACATATATACATATTAGCCTTCAAAGCATATAAGAACAATTTTAACTAGTCATGCCCTCCATATAAAAGTTAAAGATTCATATTTCAAAAGCTAAAATTACGAAAAACCAAAAAATTGAAAACACCAAATTTGTTTCCTTCTTTCTTTTCACAAAAATACTAAAATTTCGCTCCTTCTTTCTCCCTCCATACATTAGAAAAAACTCAATTTTCCCTCCTCTTTCTCTTCCATAAAATTGAAAGAACCAAATTACCCTCTTCTTTCCTTCTACAAAAAGTTGAAAAGTCAAAAGTTTCCCTCCTTATTTCTCTTTCATAATCAAAAGAATCAAACTTTCCCACTTTTTTCTCTTCCCACATATGAAAACCACCAAAATTCCCACTTGTTTCTTTTCTAAAAAATTCAAAGAACCAAATTTCCCTCTTCTTTCTCTTCCCAATAAGTTGAATACACCAAAATTTTCCTCTTCTTTTAAAAATATCAAATTACCAAATACATTACTTTACTTTATTTATATTTAATTGATAATTTTATTGAATAGTTAAATTAACCAAAATTTTAATTTATATACTATATTAATATTGTCATGATCTCAAGTGACCTTAATGTTTCAATTTTTGTAATTTACTTAAAATACGTAAAATCAAGTGAGTTTCATATTTTTAAAATTTCTTATAAGAAATGAAAAAATAATTTTACTTAAGTTTAGAATGAAAAAATTTATTTTGAAAAACTATATATTGTATATTTTTATAATTATTCAAGTGGATTAGATGAAATTCGGGTTGAGTCGGTCGGGTTACGGGTTAGTCGGATCGGGTCAATCGGGTTCAAGTTAATCGGGTTGCGGGTCAGTCGGGTTTGGGTTAATCGGGTTGCGGGTTAGTCGGGTTGCGGGTTAGTTGTGTTGCGGGTCAATTGGGTTGCGGGTCGGGCGGGTTACGGGTTGTTGACCTTTAGTCAATTCAGGTTGCGGTCGGGTTGCAGGTCGGGTTGATCGGGCGGGTTAATCGGGTCGGGCTATGTTTTGACACCTATACTTGGAAGTGTGGGAGTGCAACGTTCTTTTTTCTTTCTTTTTTCTCCCAAATATATAATTAGGGTAAATGGCACGGTTGGTCACTGAAATTACTAAAACGTGTAGGGATGTGGAGATTTGAAATCTGCTCATCTTCCTCACGGCTATTGTTTCCAGCTGATTCGTCGTCTTTTTCTTCCAACGACTAGGGATGCGGAGATTTGAGGTATGTTCATCTTCCTCACAGGCTCACATCTATCGTTTCTTGGTCTTCTGGTCTCTTAGCTTTTATTGGGCTGCAACGAAGGTTTTCCGATATGGAAAAATGAAAAGATGGCGTGATTTTTTGATGAACGGTATGGATGGATTTGAGGTTTTTTATTTTCTGAGTGAGAAAAATGGAAAAGAGAGAATGACGAGAGAGGCAGAGAAGGGTGGTCCACCATGGGTCATGGGTTAGGATATGGGTTGGGTTAGGGTTGTAATGACATGACGGGTTTTGATGATGTAGTGGGTCGGGTTTAGGGTTTTTGGATTAAATATGACTTACTAGGCGATCTACTAGGACGGATAACGGGTAACCCATAAAATTTTAAAGAAAGAATTACACTTTCATCTCATCTCATGATAGCCAAACGAGTAGAGCTATTCTACGGCAAGTCGAAGCAAATCATCATCACCAGCAGAAGGGCAGATAGCAACAGTAACTCCTACTTCTTTACACAAGTCCCTGGGCTGGAAAACTAACTCAAAGGAATTTATTTTGGGCTCAAGAGGCAAAAGCCTGTTTCTTTCCATCTTTATTCCATTTTCTACTGCTGCTTTTTTATTCCATCTAATTGGGCTTTTGGAATTTAAGAAGTGAACGAAAACAAGTGGGAAGGAGAAATATAGGGTCGTTTGGATGAGTTATTCGTATGAGTTATTTGCACTAAAATAACTCATTTTTAGTTATTTGGATGCAAATAATCCGTTTGCCTACAAAAGTTGGCGATGAGTTATTTATACTTGAGTTAATTTGAAATAACTCATTAATGAGTTATTGTCAATACCTCACAGGGGGATAGTTATTGTGAAATAACTCACAAATACCACATTCTCATTTTATGAGGAATTCCACTTTTATATTAACTCGTTACACAATAACTCTCAAATACCACATTTTGTTGTTAATTTTTTGCAAAATACACTTGTGTAGCTAAAATTATGGGATTTTCCAAAAGTAGCAATGTTTAAATTTTTTTTCCAAAAATAGCACCCAACTCCGAAAAATTCCAAAAATAGCACCCTTTCTGCAAAACCGCCACCCGGGAGATCGTTTTTTGATGAAAACCGCACTGGTAGGGGGCGGTATTGCAGACCGCACCCCCACCATGCGATTTGGTTGCAGACCGCACCCCCACCATGCGGTCTGTTTTTTTTTTTTTTTTTAAAATCCTAACCTAGGAGGAAACTTCAAACAAACGTATCTTTGTGTTCAGGTATCCGATCGTCGCGAATTTTTTTTTGATTCCGCATAAATTTTTGAGATCTTGCAAGCCGAAGACTGTCGAAGGTGGTTTGGTCCCGCCTTCGTCCCAAAAAATGTCGTTTGCTACCCCGAACGAGCTTTTTTCCGATCTCGTCAAACTTTGGACAACCATAACTTTGTGCTCGAAAATCCAAACGACATGAATTTTTTTTATTTCGCATAACTTTTTAAGGACTACAATTTTTACTAGGAATGAATTTTCAAAACATGAATTATTTTTGGATATACAGGATTTTGGGAATAGCTTACCTTCCCTTCTCAGCAATCCACGTACATATTGAAATTATGTCTATGATAAAAGTTGTATTCCTTAAAAATTTATGCGAAATAAAAACAAATTTCATGCCGTTTGGATTTTGGAGCACAAAGTTATGGTTGTCTAAAGTTTGACGAAATCAGAAAAAAGCTCGTTCGGGGTAGCAAACGACTTTTTTGGGACGAAGGCGGGACCTAAAC